CAATTGAGGCGAACGTGACATACTAGCCTGGCACGTGTCCTCGTGGCCGCAATCCAGGTCATAGTGAAGCGCTAACTGATGTTCTCCGAAATGCCATCACGGTGTACCAGTGAAACCTCCACTTAGATGACGTGTTTTATTGTTCAATACGTTTCTGACAGTAAGCAAATAACCTCACATATTACAAGGCATCTTCATCTACGTGAGTCAAAGTTTTACCTCTTTCTACGAACTTTTGACCGTAGATGAAAATTTAAAGCAAAGCAATGATTCATCACCTTGATTCATAAAAGCGATTCCTAAACTTGCGTCAGTTTCTTCAATTTGAAGAAAAATTTTATTTGTTTGCATAGGGACGGTTTCATGCGGAATCAGGCTCAAGTGTTGGCTTCTGATGTGTGTGACAAGAAGGCCCTCCGCGATCTGAGGCGCCACTTCGTTGTGCAAGGAAAAAACTGCCAAATATGAGGTCGATGTGCGCAAGCTCGCCAAAAAAATACACATAAGGTCAAGCCTCACTGAACCGTCGAACGTTGGGCCAAGATGCCGGGTAAATGTACCCTGTAGTCAAAACCATTTGCCAATGTTGAAAAAAATGAAAAGCACTAAAAAAATGTTCTCCAGCCCCTTGAGTGTAACTTGAGTCAGACTGCAGTGGATCACGTCGCACGAGTGACGGATAACATTGAGCAATAACGGTTTCATGCCAAAAGCTGCAAGAGCCCAACTGAAAGAGCTTGAAGGGTGAACCTAAAGCGAGGTATGGAAGCTTGTCATGAAAAATCGTACGAGACAGAAGAACGTGGACATCGACGTTAGGCAAGGGTGATCCCCCTTAATTAAGAAGAAGGATCGGCGAGTTGTTGTTGTTATGACGGAAGACAAGATGCACTGCACACCATAGAACAGGAAGACGGGAATTGAGTCAAATAAATTCATCTGCAGTTAAGATACTGAGGGTGTGTCATTTAGAGACCGTTCTCAGAGCAAACAATACCTTGGCTTAACAGCATGTGCATGAAACATCGACAAATCTGCAGAGGCAGCGTCTAAACCTGAAACTTATCCAAGGTCGGACTAACCAGGCAATGTGTTATGTCAGAGAACTTTCTTTTCTCTTGTATGAAAAGTAGTAATGTAAAAAATGTCCCCATGCACAAAGAAACAATGAGGTGAACGGATAGATTTGAAAAAATACGTTAAATTTGAATTTGGTGGAGGGGGAACAATGGCGCTTTGAGTTAGTGGTCTGCTCTATCTCTCAGACCACTAGGCGCGCCAGGTTCAAACCCCCACGAGGTGCGTGACTCTTTTCTTACTAACCGTCAACTGCGTTGAGCAAGAACGCCGCCCCTCTGTGCCTCGGTGAAGCCAGCCAAAAAACGAGTAGCATGTCGTTGACCTGCGAATAACTGGGACAGCATGATGCTTTTGTGTAATCATGCCAAAGTCCACGAGTCATGCGACTGTCTGACGTAGGCATATGCTGTCTGATACATGCACCTTTCGATTGCAATGATACTTGACCCACCTGCTAGCTGACTAAAAA